GTGGGGGCACCTGCGTCCCCTCACCTTGTTGTAAATGTAGCAGTTTGTGAACATGGTGTTGAAGTCCTGCATGCACTCACTCGCACTCCAATAGTAATTACTCTCTAGCCTCTTCTTAATAGTCCCCATGTCCATCGGGTTTTTTATTATCTTATGATAATCCTAGGAAAAGAGATTTTTCACAGGCGTCACCACTGGCTCTGGCATAGGGATCTTTGCGATTCCAGGTGTGGCAACGGTGCACAAGGCAGTCGTCCCGCGGAGCCGGGGCCGGGCCAAGTTCCTGTTCGCCTCAGGGCAGGTGGCTGCCAGGTCTGGGGTGGGCACTCGGCCAGCACACAGCCCTGCCAGGCCTCTCGGCCGACTGGGTTGTGTGTGGACCCAGCACGGCTCTGTGCTCTGGACGTGGGGCCAAGTCCCTTCCCCAGACTCCAGACTCGGCCCCAGGGCCCCTGGTGCCCAGTGACGGAGCGGCCCAGGCCGCTGGCTACCCCTTGCAGCACTCGGGGTTCTTCTGTTCCGGGCCAAAGAAGAAAGCCATCGGGTGGTCAGGCCGCCTGGGGCGTGCAGCTGGGGCGCTATCCCTGGGGAAGCGGGCCTCGCCCGCTCTGAGCACGTGGCTTCACGCGCAGACGCGTCAGCTACACGGCGGTGTGGGCACAGGACGGAGGCACGGGTGACCCTCTCCTTCTGAGCCCCATCCCCGTCGACTCCGGCTCCCCCTGCTCCCACCCACAAGGCCACCTGGAGGCAGCTGCCCCCAGCCCCCCAACGCCCCTAAGTGTCCTCTCTGCCTCTTGGTCACTGCGTGTCCCAGGCTGTCCTCTGCCGGACACTGGGCTCCCGAAGCCTGGGCTATGCCTGGCTTACAGGACCGGCCGCACCCCAGCACCACCTCTGCCCGGGCCAGAGGGGCCAGCCTCCAGGAGTCGGGTTGACAGAAGGGCAGGGGTCCCAGGGAGGGGGCCACTCACAGGCAGGTTCAGCTTGATGGCGTCCACCGGCTGGTAGAAGGGCCAGGCGAACTGGTGTTTCCAGAGCGTCTTCACCACCACGTTCTGCATGTACTGCAGCTGGTTGGTCTTGCGGCCGGGCTTTGCGGGGTTGGAGACCTCCGGTGGGGGCGGGTTCACGGGGCCCGGGGCCGCCGGGATCCCCGCGGGGGCGACCGTCGTCGTGGTGGACATCCTCCAGCTGCTCGCTCACTGGCTGTCACAGCAGCGGCTCGGGGAGGCCCTGGCTTCCTCTGCGCGCCCCACGGAGGCGCCACATCCCATCTCTGGGCCCAACCCCGCAGCACCTGCAGGGGATGAGACAGCAGGGAAAGGCAGGTTACCCTGGGCCCGCCGCCTCGCCCAGCCTCAGCCGGCTCCCTGGGCACAGCCGTGCGGTCATGGCGAGGCCAGGCCAGGCACGTGCACCCCTCGCCCTGGCCACTCCTCACCTGTCACAGGACCACGCTCCCCCAGATGCTCTCAGGCTGGGGAAGGGAGAGAACGTGTCCCCGGAGTGGGTGCGGAACGTGAGGGCGGGAAGGCGGCCGTCCAGGCGGGCACCGAGGACGTGGCCACCCTCGGCTCACTGCCCACCAGCCCCTTGCCTGCCGGGGGCCGACTCTGCACTCCTCTCCACTGCAGCAATTGTTTAGGGAATGATCCACACGCAGAGCTACCACATCGACCTAACAGCCTGTCCAGGAGGCAGACTGTTCTCGGACCAGGTGCAGCACAAGGACCCTCTTAAGCGAGGCCGCAAAGATGGCGGTTCTAATGTAGCCACGACAACGGGCTCTGGTTTGTGATGGCGCCAGGCTGTGATACAGCCGGACCTCGGCCAATCGTGGGGGTGGGAGAAGTGGATGTGGCCCTGCATCCTGGGTGAGTGAGGGGTTGCAAGACCGAACCCCGGCCCTCAGGATGCTCTGAGGGAGAGCTGGGGAGGGAGCGGCCAGTGTTGCCCCACGAGTCACCAAGAGACCGACTGCAGCCCAGAGAAATGAATGCTTTGCTGTAAGGATGAACGGGCCGCCCCCAACATCAAAAGCCCGCCACGTCTGGGGAAGAAGTCGGTGGCCCTGCTGTTACTTTAGGGTGCAGGACGCACTGGGGGCTGCACACGGAATCTGGACTCGGGCAGCATTTGTGCACACTACTGCATTCAGCCGGGGTGGGCTGGGCGCAGGGCCTGCGTGGGGGCCAGAGGGCCTTCAGGAGGGACAGAGTGGTGCGTGTCGGCTGCTGGACCCAGCCCTTCTACAACCTGCAAAAGCAGATGGTTAAAACTTAGAGACCTTCTCGAGCTGGTATCGACCACGTGGCCTGCCACGTGGGCGTGTCTACACTACAGCTGTCAGCGCCCCACAGACCAGGGCTTCCCCCAGGCAGCTGTTTGTTCAACCCTGACCAGCAACCCTCTCCCGCTCCGGCCCAGAGTGAACAGGACTTAAGACAACGGGCACATCTCACTCGCCAAGCGACGCTGCCCCGCTCGCCCACCCTTCATCCAAGGGACGCTGTGGGAGCACCCACCAGGTGCCCCGGTCCGCCTGCCGTTCTAGGGGGCCAGCAGCTCCCCTGCTCCGTGCTCTCCCCAGGTAAGCAGGCAGCTTCAAGCTCCCCCACCTCACCAAGCCCCTGGCAGCGCCCGGCCCCCAGCGCATCTCACCACCAGACACAAAGCCGCCTGGCCTGAGCCCTCCTCCTTGACCCCTCACTGCCCCACCCCAGCAGCCTCCCGCTGGGGTCTCCATGAACCCCCCACAGGTCTGCCCTCCGCCGCATGGCCCTGCTCTACACAGCAGCGGTGCTCCTGGCCAAACCAGCCCAGGTTGGATCACGTCACTCAGTTGCTCAAGACTCTGGTGGCCCGAATGCCCCCAGGGGAGAGCATGGCCAGTCCTGCTCCGGCTTGCGGGGCCCAACCTGACCAGTGACTCATCTCCCTGTCCTGGCTGCTGCAGCCACACAGGCCTGTGCCCTCCCCTGCCTTCTTGGTCTCCTCTGCTCCGATGCCACCACGTGTCAGTGCCTCCTAGAACCTCTGGAACCTCCCAGACGCCGGGCAGCTCAGGGTTGCCGAGCAGATGCCGGGGCCAGGCTCCTGGTCCCAGTCCCAGCTCTGCCCGTCACCAGCTGCAGGGCCCAGTCCCCGTGTCCCCACTGGGCTCACTGAGACTAAAAGAATCCAACACACAAGGCACTGGGGCCTGTGCTGGACACACACCGACCACGGCACAGTCCTGCTGTGACCGCTGCAGCGGCTCCGAGTGAGGGTCCCTGTACCTGCCACTCCTGAACCTGGGCCCAGAAGCCGGCCCACTGCAGCTTGGGCCCCCAGGTGTAGGGCTGCTGCTGCACGGACTGGGGAGCAGGGAGAAGGCAGGACTCAGCCAGGGGCTGAAACTACCTGGGTGGGTATGGGGTCCGCGGGAAGGGCCCAAGGCTGCTGGCCAAGGCGCAGATCAGCCTCCTTCAAGCACAGGGACGGGCAGGCACGGCTCTCTGCAGGGATGGGCTTGGGTTACCGTGGGGATCCTTGGCCTGGCCCTCAACGTTCCCCCCTCTTCTGACCAGAGACTGACCACTCCAGATCTGCAGCCGAGGAGACCAGCTCCTGGCGCAAACTCAGGAACACACCCCCGGTCCTGGGGTGATGCCCAGGGACAGCACAGCTGCCCATCCCGCCCAGGAGGAGCCACGGGCCTGAGTCAAGTGGACAGAGTGGCCTCCTGTGTCCGGCCTCACACCAGCCCGGCCCAGGTGCCCCCTCGGCAGTGCCGGGGGTCCCAGACAACGTGGCGAAACTCTGAGAGCAGTGCCGGGCCTAGTACACGCTCGACGAGCACCTCACAGGCACAGGAGACCTGAGCCACTCCACAGCGGCCCGAGCAGCCACCCCAGCAGTGTCTAGGAGGTTCAGAGGGAACACGTGCAAAGGGTGCCGGGCACATGTCTGGCAGGCGGACGCCCCGCCACCCGTGGGACTGCATAAGGCAATGGGACCTCCCCTGGTCTGCAAATGTGAGTGCCATGCCCAGCACCTCCACTGAAGGTGCCCCACCTGCAGGTACGTGGGGATGACCACAGGGGTTGTGGCCTCGCTACCACCCCCTGGCCAGGTGGTAGCACACAGCACCCCTGACAGCAGAGGCAGGCACCTGGCTCGTCCTTTGTCCCCCACAGCCTGGGCACCAGCCTGACAGGGAGGAAGGGAGGGCAGCTAGAGTGTGAGAGGTTGGGGCCCCCCACGAGCCCCTCCACCCCAGGCACCAGAAGACCCACCTCCTGGGAAGGGCCACGTGGCTGGGGAGGAGGCTGGCAACGGGGGCCGTCGGGGAGCTCCAGCCAGACCCCTCTGCAGCGGGAGGACACCCCCGGCTCCCGGAGGAGGCCATACGGTCGCACAGGTCACGGGGCGCTGTCCCCTCTGGGGTGGCAGTGAGTGAAGAGGCCACGCCGCCCCCACCGGAGCACACGACTCACACGGAGACAGAGCCCGGGCCCGCGGGCCACGCGTGCAGGCCAGGCGGAGCTGCGGCGACACTGGCCTTGCCGAGGAAACGAGGTGCCGGCTCCAGCACACGGGGGGCCGGAGGGCATGTGGCCTCAGGATG